CTGCCTGCGGTGGGGCAGCTGCGTTTGGCGAGATCCTGCCGATTTTGTGATGTTTCGTTTATCGCTGACACAGGAGCTTTCCATCGCCGTGATGCCTCAGTGGGTAATTAGGTGTGAGAGAAGGCGAACTCCCAGCCCCTCTGATGTGTAAATGCATCCTGGCAATGGGATAAGGCTCCGCCCCTTTACGTCATTACTGCCACGCGCATGGGATGCGGCCTTAATGCAGGAAGTAACGTGAGGAGGGTTAACTCAAGTCCTTGCGCCCAGTGATTCGTTCGCCTACTGGTCACTATTTGTCAGGGCGCTTTACACAATTAACGATTATGGACTTAAATTTACGGTGCTGGTCACCTTATTTTTAGGTAATGCTTCTTCACCAAGAGGCTGACAGTAGCTCTGCACAAAGGATTCAAACCCTCTGGGTGCATTTCCATCTCCCAAACATAAGTTACACATTGGTGCAGTGTGCAGTTAGAGTTAAATACACAAAGATGTAATTCTGTTGCTGTTTCCACCAGCGCACAATGTGCTTCCTCTCTGTCCAGTGTGAATTCCAAACACCTCTTCCAGAGCTAAGCCTTCATCTGATTGTAATAACTTTTTATTGACATTGTGTCCATTGAAGCCTCTTGTTTTCTTGCCTCGATTGTGTGTGCGAGACCACGGCACATGGATTGGCATTCAGTTGGCGCGCTCTGGCCGAAGCGAGCTCTCCGAGTCGAGATCGAGTGCCGGATTCCTCGTCTCCGTCTCCTGAATAGCAGACGCTTCACCATGAATAAAACATGCCAACTGGGGACCACTTTTCCGAACGGGGATTTGTTTGTTTATGTGTGAAATGTATGTAAAGGAGATTAACCCTTTTGAAAAAGGTCTGTGATTAATTTTGCAGTTTGTGTCCTGTGTCCATTTGACATAGCTGTCCTGCCGTCTTCTGATCAAGCGCCTTATTTCCAAAGCTCACAGAATTATGGGCGTCTGTATCCCTACAGAGACCCCGCATTGGCAGAAAGTATGGTGTGCTTACATGACCCCATTGAATCCAAGTGTTAATCGCCTGTCACTCAAAGTTGCATTGTTAGTATTATAATTTTATCATTTATATGCAAATACTAGACTGAAAACCAGCGGCTGCTTGGGTTAGCCCTGCTTGGGCTGGTGGGAATCTGCACAGCGGTAACGACTGTGAACCAACCTTTGAAAATTAGACCGGTCTTCCCGCGCTGGTGTGGATGTGCGGCGCTGCTCTCCAGCAGCTGATGGACGTGCTGGTAATGGAGTTAAACGGGGGGCTTTAGGAGGTAATCGATTCGCAGGCGTCTAGCAGCTTACGACAGGATTTCCCAGAGGCAGCGTCTTTGCCTTGACCTTCAATCTCAAACGCCGCGTTCAGCTTTGCATGCTGGAGGATCATCTGCACCGGGCTAATAAAAAAAACAAAAACAAAAAAACGTTAAACTTCACGTTAAGTCGTCGCAATGCAGGTCATAGTCACTTTGGCAGAATGACGAATGTCCATTCTAAGGCCTCTTCTGTATAAGCTCTGGAAGAAGGGAGGGGGGAGGGGGTGGGCTGGGGTGACATGGCATTGCGGTTCCCCCTCTAGTTGTCCCTGATAGCTGTTGAGAGCATCGACCTGCGCGGCACCATCATCTTCCATCAGGAGGTCCGTCTACGCTGGTTCTGAACGAACAGTCTCTGACGGATCATGCAGTGGTGCATTGTGGGTAAGCAGAAGTAACCCGACTTCAGGCGCGCAGAGCTCCATTCGCCGCTTGGTACTTAACCTCGGCCCTTCGGCGCCGCTGGGTGCTCCGGCTTCCCCTCTCAGTCTTTGCTCTTAGCTGCATAATTGATGACGGGTCATTTCCCCTGATGTCACTGTTGTCAATCAGGTGGTAATTTAAATGTTATGCAATCTGCAGGACCCGGGCTGTACTACTGAGGCCTGATTCATCATATGCCCTCAAATTAAGGCTGATTTTGTTTATTTAAATTTGGTCCGTTCGTTTCCTAACTCTGTAAACCATATCTTTATATAATATATACACATGCAATAAATGCGAAAGTAAATGTATATATGATCTTGCTGGAAGGAAGGAAAGGGGAAATTAATCTAAAAAAAAAAAAAGTAAAAGTACATTTGAAAATTTCTGCTGATTTGACATGGGGTTCCTTAAGTGTATCAGACATCATGATTGTAAAATAAGCATCTTTGGTTTTGGGTGAGATACGGCAGATTGGGTCGAGGTAACTTCAGCGGGTCTGTCTGCTGCCGTTTGCCACTGAGGCTCAGAGCTGCGGGCTCCGTGTGCTTCACTCATCGACGAACCGGCAGACATAATCACAGTAATGATTAAAAAGCCTACAAGCTGTGGTCCCGCCAAACCCCTCCGTCTTAAACCCCGTGTGAAGCCGTGCTGGTCTCCGTCAGTCTCGCTCGCGGCCGTGAATCGACCTTCTGCCGCGGTGCTAGTCAGACGGGCCTCTGCGAAGGGCTCCCCTGCTGTAAACCTGTCAGAAGACTCCAGTCTTCGCGTCTCTTCCCGCCTGTTTCGATCACCCACAACAATGCCAGCACAGGGAGGTGAAGAAGCTAAAAAGCCGCCTAACACTAACAGATCGTCATCAGCATCTGTGCGCACTCCGAATCACCCTCTCGCCCTCCATCTTGTAAGAAGATTCAGAACTTCTGCTTTAGAAACCCGTCAACCCCTGAACTTTGAGAGATGGTCTTCACCTGGGCTTGTGAGGCGTGACGATATTATTGGTAATTGACAATTACAGACTAGTAGGCCTGATCTGGGGTTAGTATATGACAGTGACTGAAGAGCGATTATTGCCAGATAACAGAAGGATTAATGATTTAATAATAATTATTATAATAATTGGCTTTCAGTTCAGCCTTGTAGCCTCCGTTTCTGACACAGTTAAAAACAACACTGCTGTTATTTCTTTTAACTCCCTGTAAACTTCTAACTGAATCGTTAAAGTTTTTGTTTTAACATAATTTCCGCATATTTTTTTTTAAGCGTCGCCCAGGCAGACCTCTGTCCTGTGTAAAATTCTCTGCACAGCCTCTGGTCTAGAGAAAAAGGCACGGGAATTAAATCAGAGGAACTGGAGTGGGATTTTTTTTTAAAAGTCACCAGTTTGATTCCTACCCCCCAGTTTTCAGACAATCCTGGAATTTGTTATTGCACATATATAAAACAGGATTGGTGTCATTTCGGCCTTGCTTCTGTGGTGTTCTACATTATCGGCCGTGCTCACAGTGGTATGATTAGGGTCCATCGTGTCTTTTCCCACAATGTAAACCAGAGTCAATGACATTTATGATTTTCTGCTTGGCGAAGAGCTTTTTTGTCCCTTAATGGACGACTTCCATACTGTGGTCATCTGGCACATTCATTTTCCTTCCCGTTTTTTTTTTTTTGCCTCTCGGCTATACAGGGCTTCTCTGGTGTAGCCTGACCACGTGGCGTCTTGAGTTTGTAAACAGCAGTTCGTCCATCAGAGAAGCTGGACTTGCACGGTGGCCATTGCTCGGCCGTTGGTTTATGATTCAGGGTCTGAGATTCTTCCCTGGAACTAATAGAACAAATATGACCAATCATGTTGGACGAAGGCCCTGCACTTCATTTGGGTTGGACACTGGCCAAGGCTTGATGCTGACACTCCAATCCATCATTGGATACTAATTTCCGTCCCGCCTCCAGATATTTACAGTTGCTGAAATGAGGTGAATATTAGGTTTGGGTGTCCTGCTGTCATCCACGGCTTGAGTAATTAGATGGTAATTCTCCGTCTCTGGGGTCTGCGGCACGTGCAACGCATACGTGTCAAGCTCCGGATGATACGGTCATCCGTGCGATAGGGCTGCAACGACACGCTGTCCGGCCCCACAAGGTAGGGGGGGGGTCGTTATGACCAAGGGACCTGGCCTTAGTCTGGACCTGCTGTTCAGCTGTTTGGCAGCAAACACCTGCCAAAATGTTTGTCCCCCTCGGCCCCACACACCTTGTAAGGCTAATTGACCTACTCATTTTCCCATTCAGCATCCTTATTCCGGGCCAGAGTGAGGCAGGCTCGCCATTGGCCAGTTCTCTCCTATGTCCAATCGGATGATTAGGCTGTTCGTTTGTTTTTCTCACCGTACTAAAGCACCTTCACAGCTCTGTGTGGTTATATAACAGAAGTTATAAATAGAATGCCCGCGGGATCCCAAATCCTTTATCGCCAGAAGCGTTCAGGCAAAAGCCCTTATCACAGGAACATTTATACTGTAAACAGATTATTAACCCTTCTGATGCAGGTGAGAGAATTATTTTGTGCGTGCTTTAAATGTGCTGTACAGTCATTTTAGTCTGAAGCTTTAAATGTACTTTACGATGAAGCAGCAAATACTCTAAAACAGTGGTTCTCAACCTTTTTGTGCCGCGACCCAGTTTTTTCTGTGCCAGCTCAATTACGACCCTATATGAAATATAGGTTTAAATTAACACTATGATCAAGCATGCAGTGCACTCTGCAATTTACGCCAATTAGTGCCTGTCGCACAGATTTGATTGGCTGTGCCAGTGAATTTTAAATTAAGCATCTGTGGCTTGTCGTCTTGGATGGGATGAGTGTTCACTAGTTTTTTGCTAAGCATTTGCCGACCCGTTGAATATTGGTTAATTCTAGTATTGGGGCTGGGAAATCTGATCACTGATCAGCATCGGAGCTTGCTGGTTTTCAAATGCCTCCAACTCTGCCTTGCGACCCTTTCAGAACTTGCCGTGACCCAATCTTGGGTCGCGACCCATGGCTTGAGGATTGCTGCTCTAAATAAATACATTTCCATACATTTTCTTTAACAACCCTGTAGGTGTGGCAAAGTAGAAGTACTATAGGCTTGTATTACAGATTATATTTCATAAAACATAAAAATAAAAATGAAAAAAAGGCAAGCTCTGGTTTGTTCTTCCATTCTTGTATGATTCCTGTTCCTTCAGAGCCTGGATGAGCTGGATGATGATGGTGATGAAGGCCAGAAGGAAAGGAAGAGGGAGGAAGCCCTCACGCAGCTCAACACCACCCAGAATGAGACCATGAGCTTGGAGTTTGGGGCGGCCCATTCACTGCAGGTGAGGGGGGGGATTCTCCTTCCTCTTCTTTTTGGTCTGTGTCATCTTTGCTCGTTTGTCCCCTGGAGCTGTGTCGGCCTCAGCGGTCGGCCGTTTACCTCCCTGAGCCTTTGCAGTGATAAATATTTATAGATCGCATGTGTGAGAAACTTTGTGAGACAGCGCGTGACCCCCGAGCACAACACTGAGATGCAGGAGGCCAGAGGTCACGCCTTCCCAGAAGGCTTCGCTGCTGTCCGTGGCAGTCAAGGTGTGTCAGTCCTAGTGCACGTTTCAGGATGGCAGCGGAATAGTGCGAAGGAATAGTGGGAGGGTGTGAGGCTCTGAGGGCTCTGTGCCCGGGATCAGAAGGTCGTCAGATCAAATCCCCTGTCAGGCACAGTGATCATATCGCCCTTGGGCCCTTGAGCATTGAGGCCTCTCATCTATATACATGTGCAGGACCATGCGGAGACTCTTCAAGGGACAGATGCCCAAAGCCTTTGACACATGCAGTAAAGGGGCTCAGGAAGATCACACCTTTAAAGGGCAGCACTTTAAATAGTTCCGGCAGATGCTCAGGCACCCCCCCCCCCCCCCAACTCGCCTGTATAGGTGTGTCTTATAGCAGACCAAGGTGGGGTATATGGTAACTGGTACTTGCTCATTGTGCCAGGGCTGGCTCTATCTTTTCAGAAGCCCTAGGCAAAGCTTTCCTTGGAAGGCCCCCCTGCCAAGAAAACTGATGTTCCTTTCACTCTGGGGGCCCTTGGTATCTTCCTGTTCTGCCTACAGCTAGAACCATCCTTGCCCTGCACGGTGACAGTAAGGGCCCCCTGCGTTGCGGCGATCTCCTGCAGCGTGGCAGATGGCCTGTGGGTTGTGGGTTCGAGTCTGGCCGCCAGCTCGGCGTTTGCAGTGGCGAACGTTCTCCCTGGCTGTGCTTCTGACTTTACTCTGTGTTTTGGTTACCTGCTGCTGTCAGCAGGGGGCGCTGACGAGTCGTATGGGCGGCCGTGCAGTGCCCACGCCGTGTGGGGGCACGTGAGCGACGGGCACAGAGCGCCGTGTCGCCTCACGCCCGTGCGATAGGTCCCGCGTGACCAGCCCCCAGGCTAAATCACCATCATCAGAAATCTGCGCGTGTCATTGATTATTGTTTACATTTATGTTTCATATCCCAAACGACGTGATAATTATACAGAGGCTTCCGTGAGACGGCTGTGTAAGACTCCCTCTGGGAGGAATGAGAAACTGAGTCATGTGACATTGGGGTGGGAGGGAAGGAGGGAGGGAGGGGGAATTTATTTAGAGATGTGGGTTAATTAAATGGTGCTGGGGGGGCGTTGGCCTGAAGAGGAGTTATAATGGATTTCAAGCTCTGGTACGGGGGCCCTGTGCGTAATCAGACACAGCTGAAGCCCAGGCACGTGTGGCCTTTCGGGGTGCCTAGGGTCACTTCCCCTGATGCCCCCCCCCCCCCCCCTCCCCCTCCAGTGACTGCGTACTGGGAGCGAACCCCTGTAATGTATGTCGAAGGCTTTCGGCACCTGCCCTTCAGGAGGTCTCTGTGGAAGTGAAAGAGCAGGCCTGCTACCCGGCGAGCATGAAGGGGAAGGCCGTCACCACCAGGGGGCGCTTTGCTCCTCCTGGTGTTTCTCTCCTTTGCCTGCTGTCCTTGTTTGTGCCGCGTTGCTGAGCTCAGTCATCCCCGCCCCTGTTCTCTTCACATTTAGCCATTTTAGATGCTCTGACTAAGATGATTTAATTGTGAAACTTTTTTCTTAAATCATCTCTCTACGTCTTGCAGCAATCAATTTTTCGTCTTTACGGCATTATTCTGATGAGTAATGCACAATTAATGCCCGGCTAATTAAACCATGTTTTGTGCGTGCATATGCGTCAGTGTGCGTGCATGTGTTTTGTTTTTTTTTTTCCCCAAGTAGTTGTGAAATCAAATCCCTTCAAGCATTGCATATCCCTTGAGAGAGAGGGAGAGAGAGAGAGAACGTTACCCAATGAACTCCCTATCATACCTATCACTGTGTTTTCCACTTGTTCAAAGGGAGCTTTGTGCCGTGTAAGTCTTTATACATCATCTTCAGGTTTTATGGACCATAAACATCGTTTTGACTGAAGCTTTGCAATTTCCATTGTCCATATTGAACTGGTCGCCCGGGGCCTGTTATTGGCTGTTCAGCAGCATTGATAACATAAGGGACTACAATTGAAATATGCTTGCTGACTGTATTTAGGAGTAATGGACCATCTGGTCTGTATGTGTTGATGATGGACTGGTCCAGCATCTGAAGTGCCTGCAATGTGGGTGTCCAGAGTAGGGGTGCGTATTAATATCTTAAATAGCTCGAACCCCAGCGGCTCTTATCTGTTTTGTACGGCAACACTGAGGCTCTGTCTGCTCACAGTTTTGGTCTGACCCCGTGAGCTGCCCGGCACTGAGGTCGCGAGCTTCGACCTCCGCATCGGCAAGCTGCCTTTGAAATATGAAGCTGTCAGGAAGCCGTAAAAAGGACATATATTCTCATAAGTCGTGTTTCCCCCCCCCACTGCCTGTTACGCGGCGCATTGATTTAAGCCTGTTAGGTCGGATTTTTGTGTCGGCAGCTCATTTTGAGGGCCTCTCTTTTATTGATGGAAGAGTATTTTTGGTTCTGTGCCTATTTCATATTAAATGTCAGTAACTAACAAGTGTATTTTTAGTGTTTTATTCTCTGCAGCATCAAACACAATGCAACTAAGAATGAAATATTTATGCTGCCCTTCTAGTTTTGGTGAAACATCTACGTTATGGAGCTTCAGAGTCTAGAAACTGTGGATCAGGGATCAGGCGACTTGGTACTACCTGAGCAGTGGAGAGTGCCCCTGATAAGGTGTAGAAGAAGGTGGTGCTTCCTGCAACGTGAGGAGGAGCCTGCAAGCTCAGACCATCGTGGCAGAGTGAGAGTTTCCAAGCGCTAACCCCAGCAGGCATTCGGAGGATGGTCCACATCAGTCAGGCGTAAAGTCGCCGACCAGTATCTCCAGTGACCCATGGACTTTTAGAGCGCCACCTGGCTGTATCCGGGGCAGTCTGGCACTGCTTTTCCGCTCCTTGAGGATGGGCACTTTTTCCAGTTGTATTTCACTGTAGCCGGGAGCCGAGTGTCGAGTGGGAGGGGCAATCTCGAATAGGAGGGGCTTATCACAAGGGGCAGGAGAGGTTTATAATGAGGGTTAGGATTGGGGTATCGGATGATAACGCTCGACATTGCCCCACCCGCTCCACATTGCCCCTCCCGCTCCACATTGCCCCACCCGCTCCACATTGCCCCTCCCGCTCCACATTGCCCCTCCCGCTCCACATTGCCCCTCCCGCTCCACATTGCCCCTCCCGCTCCACATTCAGCTCCTGGCTGCAGTGATGTGTCTCTCGCTTTTTCTGAAATATGAATAGTCTCTAATAGTGCTACCGCTGGCATTCAGAGCTTTGAAGAGATGATTGGTTTTTCAGGCCCAAGTTTAATGGGATGTTTTTGCAGAAGTGTTTAAAAAAGGTTCGGGTCAGACAACCAAGCCTTTCTTACTTACGGGAGAACTTAAACAAGCTAGTCAGTACCGGCCATTTAACCCTCATTGTATTGCATTTGTCAGTTCTGCTGTGCCTTCGCGAATATTCTGAGAAGTGCTGGTGTTATCTGCTAGCTAATCTAACATAATTGGATTTTGTCTTTTATCAGTGCCTGGGACATGCTGGTTCTGAGTTCAGCTCTGTGGCACAATTCAAAGCCTGCAGTCTGGTTTTAATGAGCAACTTGCCTGGCTTTGCGTGAGCATTTGGTCAAATGAGCCGTAGGTCTAAAAACGTTCAATCACCTGCAAACTGCAATAAGTTTGGAACGTTAAAGAGATGTTCTGGACAGAGAAACTCTGTCAAATGACACATTTCAGTTATCCCAATGGCATGAGGAAGTATGGTTTCATTTCACTCTGCAGGGAACACGGTAGTTGACCTTGGCATGTCCATGTCAACAATATGTACAGACTCATGTTTGCGAACAGAAGGAAACTGACGAATCAGAATGAGTGAAAGTTTTCCAAACTGATTCCTCCAGCTCTCTGCATATCCTTACATGGAAAGAATGAGTCATTAGTAGGGGTGTAACGATACACCAAAGGCACGATTCGGTTCGGTTCACGGTTTTGGAGCCTCGGTTCGGTTCGGTTCGGTTCACGGTTTTGGAGCCTCGGTTCGGTTCGGTTTCTGTTTGTTGTGGGTTTAGGGTTGATGTCATCTTAACAGCAATGCTAAGGAACAATAGATTCACTTAATAACAAGAACAACTAAACTTTTTCTTTATTAACTTTGCCATCACATTTTTAGTACAGTCAGGATACCTGAGTAAACAACAAAAATTAAATCAATACCTCCAATATAGACTAGTCAGAAAAAAACAATTCTAATACTAACTTTAGAATATAATATTTAGAACAAAATTTAGAACAAAAGCTCATCATTACTAATACAATTTAATCAAATGTGATAAAATAAAGATGTGTTTAAATTGGTTAAATTAGTTAGAGTCAAGTGACGTCAACCTCAACAATGGGCAGCAGGGGGCGTGAGAGTACCGCGGTACGCCACGAGAGTTTCGCGATACGTATCGTGGTTCGTGTATCGCGATATTTCGGTTCGGTTTGTAATATCGTTACACCCCTAGTCATTAGTGTGTTACTTGTTAGCTTGGCACGTACACCCCCAGTCGCGTGTGCTGCTGATCTTTACCCTGACACCCCTATCATTCTCCGGTTGGATCAGTGCGGGCAGGGCAGCGGGGGTAAAATTGACCCCAGATCAGTAAGGCTACACATTTGGCTTATTCTCTGTAAGGTGTCTCTTGGTAATCCAGCTGTCAAGCTGAGCCCAGTGATCCAGGCTGTGATAATTAGGTGACTAGGCCAGTCGTGCAGGTGCTGGAGCCTGAAGGTTCATAATTCACTTGTCAAAAAGGCATTAGCTTGCACTCTGTAGGTCAGACCTGGCTGAAAGATGGGGCCTTCAGACAAGCAGGTGTTGAAACCTTCGGTTCTTCTGTCCTGAGGTCAGATCTTCATCTGACCCGTGGAAAAAGGGGAATTGTGGCATTTGCCATAGAAACTTCTGAAACGGCTTCTCCTTAATAAAAAATGTGCCTCATAAGATCTTATGGGGAGGATGTTCACGTGACTTTCACGCAGAGGTCGAATGTTCGCCGTCAGAAAGTACAAATCCAGACCAAGATTTTGTTTCGACCAACCAGTTTAATGTAAAGAGTGACATTCACAGAGTGCTCAACTGCTTGGTTGAAATAAAATCTTGGTCTGGATTTGTACTTTCTGGACCTGAACTTTCCACCTCTGCTTTCATGTAGAGTTTATCTTCCTTCGTAATATGTGTGAAACAATGACATCTGTCAGGTAAAAATGCATGCAGATTGCGGCTTTAGTGATGTTTGATAAACACGAGTGTAGCTTGAAAGGCGTGTTCCAAATGGGTGCTTATAGGTGCAGTAAAGGTAACCAAGTGAACATTTACCAGACTTACTAATGCCTCTTAATTCTGTTGTATAGCTGCCTAAAAAGCCCGTATTCTTGTTAGCATGAACCCGATCTGCAAAAATATTTTCCCCGTGTGCTATTTCTAACCGAGGGCAGATTGTTTTGGAAACAAAGTAAGAAAATGGATTTGTGGTGTTTTAGGGTTTTGAAGTGCTTTCCGGAGATTGGGCAGCTCGAGTTGTTTTTCTGACCCCCAGGGTAGTTCTGGAGAAACGAGAGCTTTGAAAGCGGCACATCGGAAAGTGGACCGGGCCTTCTTAAGAGTCTCTCGTATTGACTGTATCCTCAAGTGATTCCAGTACTTTAAAACGTAACTCTCACTTCATCCTTTCATTTTGGTGCCTGTGAAATTTGACATTTTCATTAGAGGGAGAACCTGCTAAAAGCAGAAGGAAGACAAATTACATTATGGATCTTCAAACAAATGCACAATGTTGCTGAACTTGTCTCAGCTATAATTTGATTACATCGTCTTCATTTACTCTTTTTTCTTTTTGGTCTCTCAGAAGGCACATCACTAATGCACAGTGCCAGTGTAAAAGGCTTCTGGTTTGAACTTGTGTTCAGTTTCACGTGTCATCTCTGTACTTCACATTCTATCTGTTTTTCAGGAGACCTCCAGACCTGTGGCTGGTCGCTACAAAAGGTGAGTTATAAACACTTGTTAACCGGCCTATTTAAAAATGTATTCGTGATTAACTACAGGAAGTATATCTTGTATCTTTCTCTCTCCTGTGAAAGCGCCTATTTGAATATAAACATGAGTTCACAGGAAAGTTACATGACAGGCAAAATGGTTCTTCCTGACTTTTTTTCTGGATTTCTCTACGCTCTCACTAATGAAATAAAAATTTAGTTCCTTTCCTAGAAAAGTGTCACCTAGGTCTGTAACCATCCAGTAAGTTTCATAAATGAATGATTTTCATATAATAATAAGCTTATTATGGTGATTAAATTTTTCACTCCTGCCATGCTGGGCTGTGGTGATTGCAGGCAGAATTAAGACGCACATTCCTCCATTTCACCGGTACCAAAAAGGGTTATCAGCCCAGTTCCGCTTGAAATGCTGCTCGAGAGTGCTGAGAGTCCAAGTGGCCCCCTTTGTCAGTAATTACCGCCGGCACACCTCAGGGAAATGTTTCATGTGAATGTTGCCCAGACTCTCCCCGAGCCGCCGTCAGCGGGTGAGATAAGGTCTTCAGTCCTCTCTGTCCCATTCTGCACCCCTTACTAAGCTTTAATGAATTGAATTTTATGCAGTTACATTTACAATATGTCACATTTACCTTTTTCTGTATTGAATACTATTCCAGACTCGTCCAATATGTCCCAGGGTGCTTTGCAGACTCTGTCGCTTATGTTCGCGCTACTGTCTAGTATTGTGGCACCATTTAGATTGCGAGGATCTTCAATGTGGTTGAATTTGATGACGTCAGTGCCTTCGCTTGGTGCCGTGACATTTTCAGCGTGTCTTTCACAGCGCGGGGGGTCCGAGCCACGAAGAGGATGCGGCGGGGAATGGGTGGCACCGCCAGAGCCGGGCCGCCATGGCTGCGCTGGAGAGGAGGATCGAAGAGCTGGAGAAGGTATCCAGTGGTCGCCCCGAGACTGAAATAGCTGCAGGTCCTCGTTTGTAGCTGGATCTGATGCCGTTTAATAGCCTCAGTCCAGCCCTGCTGCTGTTTCAGGAATCGAATCTACAAACTGCCCACGTTGTCCTAAATGTGACTTTTCTATGTGCCAGGTCAAACGGTGTGGCTTTGTACACACTGGAGTGTGTTAGGCAGTGACCATGGTGTGTTAAGCAGTACGCCCTTGGTTCCACACCTTCTGGGATCCCTTTTGACGCTTCTTGTCCATGGTTACAGGACAGAATCACATGACAGGTTGCACTGTCCCTGTAAACAAAGCCGATTGGCAAGCCTGATTCATTATGACCCTCCAAGTTCCCGAAGGCTGTGTTGTCCTTGGATAAACAGTGTTTTGGCTCGTCGTTCCTGGCTTCCACGGCTCTCCTGGTGTGTCCTCTCCCGCCTGAGCCCGGGCGGTAATTCACTGTCCAGCTGCCAGAAAGGGAGAACTCTAGCTTCACAATTCAGTTCCCAATGAATTCACTGTCCAGCTGCCAGAAAGGGAGAACTCTAGGTTCACAATTCAGTTCCCAGTGAATTCACTGTTCAGCAGCGCATCTCTCAAGGGTCTGCCCGAAAAAGAAAAAAAAAATCATATAGGCGAGAACATTTTAGCTGAGTACAGAATGATCTTTTGTGAAGTTCAGAGCTCAGAATGTGAATGATGGGGATCTCTGCTTGTGCTCCCAGAGGTTTGGTGCAGGTGACAGTGTCCCTGCAGTGCTGTCATTCTTCATTCTGGAAATAAACATTGATAAAACTTAAGACATTATTTCAGGAACAGGGGGCAACTTTTAGAAACTCATCTTGTCTGAAATATGAATGCTATAAGATAATTTTTCTCGTCTAGGAAATCACGATTGTTTATTGGTAGCTGTCTCAGTCTCACCCGAGGTCTCTCTGCCGTCAGGAGCTCGCTCTGGAGAGGCAGGAGAGCGCACGGATGCTGAAGGGCCTCCAGGACAAGGACGAGCTCGTCGGCAAGTTGAAGGAGGAGATCAACTTACTCTACAGGGTGAGTGCGGGGCAGGAGAATGTGCCAGAATCTCGCAACCGCCATGGGGATCACGTAGCCGGCCGAGAGCACTGCCGTGAATGGGACCAGTACCCGCAAGGATTTTGGCATGTATCACCAATCTAAGGTTTCATCACGGAAGTGGAATTTGTAGAGCATACATGTGGTGCAGACCACCCGTGAGTCTCGTTGGTAAGACCGTCAGACGCATCGGATCACGTTAGACAGGCCCCCTGCCGGATTAACTCCGGCAATCGAAGGCGGTCCGTGTGACACCGCGACACCACGTGACAATTACCGTGAGATTCGAGGCGGTGAAGAATTCCGGGTTGAATTCCAGGTCGGGGGGAGGTTGACGTATCTGTGTTTTTCTGCACGTAATTTGTACGTTATTGTATTTCGTTTTAACACGTGGATGGCTGTGGTGTTCCATCCGTCCGTAGATGTAGAGAATTATTGTGAAGGACACATTGATCCTGGCTTGTTGGAGCATTTCACCCATGACTTTGCCTGTCATTCCTGGAACTCACAGCTGTAACCTAATTCTCTGTGTACTCTCCTCATTAGAATGCCTCACGGCCCCCGTGCCATGGGTGCGAGGACGCCCCTCCCCTTGTATTGTGAATTGATCTTTTGTTATCCACCTAAGAGGATTAAACTCTAACCCTATGTACACCAAGTTACATTGAGATAATCGGGACTCTCCCGGGATCGGTTTGGAACGTTTCCATACGGGCGTAAAAAGGCAGTTTGTATGCGGGCCGCGGACTGTTAAAGAGAGGATGTTGGAGAATAATGGAAGCGGCCGTTTCTCAGCCTCTCCTGTTTGCCCGTATTCAGGATTTTGCTTTAATTCATGACCCTAAATGTGCAATGGCAGATATGTTGAATGGCCTTTTCTGTTTCGCCGTAGGTATCGCGGGAGCGGGTGGATACCCCCCACTCTGAAAGAGCTCGCTCATACCTTAATTCCGCAGTCATTTAAAGATTCCGCCAGGTTGTGGTTTACATAAAAGGGCATAAAGCGCCACTTTAATCATACTAGCGGCATGCAAATTGGAAGAATAATTATGGCTGTTTCGTACACCACTGGTGTACGGGGACTGGAGGGGTAGGACTTGGCCACAGTTCCTCTCAGCAAATATAGCGCATGTTCGTTACTGGGATCTACTGGGAGTTTTTGTACCGATATGGACCTTAAGTAGATCCAGACCCCGGAGCTGCAGCCAGGGCCCAGCTCATTGTGATGGGGGCTGTGGGGTAGAGAGACCCACCCCAGCCTGGCCCCTGGTCATTCATCACCGTCCTTTCAGCAACCCCAGCTCTGCTCCGTGTACATTTCTCCTCCCGAAACATGCCTCTCTTTCCCTCTCTCTCCGTTCTGCATCCTTTCCAGGGTTGTTCCACTGTGGTGTTATTCTGGTTTGGTGTCACGCAATCGGAAATGTACATTCTGAGCCTCCCTGAACTTCAGTAAAACACCATGTGAGTGGATAGGACAGGGATGTTAGTCTTAATTGCTTTGTATGAATGCTGCCTGCCCAGGCCAGTTGAGCTGGATAATTCACTAAATGACGGGTGAATATGTGTCCCCCTTTTTTTTTTCCAGGGTCTGTCTATCAAATTGCCCGTTTCAAAGGCCAGAGTAGGTGGGTTTATCTGCAGCTGTTGATCTGATTGGTTTAACCCACTTACTGTACTGCTTTCCATTGGAATAAAATTAGATGTGATGATTAACAAAGCTCAGAAATCCCAGCCCCTTGGGTTCCAAAGTCTTGTTCCTTCCAGCACTAGTTCCAAGATGTTTGCTTTTTCTGTGGTGGGCTTTGAATAACTGAGCTGGTTTCTTCTCCCTCTGCTTCCTCTGCTACTCTGGGTGATCTAGGCGTCCAGAAAACTCATTTTCTTATCTCTTCACATGCAGTGAACAGTGTTACCTTGAGGGGGGAGGTTTGTTCCAAGCTCAGAAACCTTGCAGAGATTTTGCGATCACTAACCTTGCGGTGATATCGCAGTCAGACAGCCGATTGTTTGATGTTCTCGCAGTTTCTTCTCAGCCATTAGTTTTTCTTTTTTAATCTCCATTCAATAATATGTCAGAAACCGAAGTACTTCTGTTCCGACCTTAAAAATCAAATATTACATGTCATGTTAGATATCATTAGATTAGATATTTGTAAATATTGTGGATTTGGAAATCCAATGTTTGCTGTCCACACAGTAGAATATCATCTGTCTGTGTGTGATATGAAATACGTGGTTATTAACTGAGAATAATGACATATTACAGATGTTCTCATACCCACTGGAAGCTTGTTGGAAGAGAGAGCTGCAATAATAATAAAAAAAAAATATATATATATGGATATAGATATAGATATAGATAGATATATAGATATAGATATAGATAGATATATAGATATAGATAT